GAGACACGGGGACACTGAGACGTGGAGACACGGGGACACTGAGACACGGAAACACAGGGACATGGAGACACGGGGACACAGAGACACGGGGACATGGAGACACGGGGACACTGAGACACGGAGACACGGGGACACTGAGACGTGGAGACACGGGGACACGGAGACACAGAGACACGGGGACACTGAGACACGGGGACACGGAGACACGGAGACACGGAGACACAGAGACACAGAGACACGGGGACACGGAGACACGGGGACACGGAGACACAGGGACACGGGGACACGGAGACACGGGGACACGGAGACACAGAGACACGGGGACATGGAGACACGGGGACACGGGGACACGGAGACACGGGGACACGGGGACACGGAGACACGGGGACACGGAGACACAGGGACACGGGGACACGGAGACACGGGGACACGGGGACACGGAGACACGGGGACACGGGGACACGGAGACACGGGGACACGGAGACACGGAGACAAACACACTGAAACACGGGGACACGGAGACAAACACACTGAGACACGGAGACACGGGGACACGGAGACACGGAGACAAACACACTGAGACACGGAGACACAGACACACACGGGGACACGGAGACACACATTGAGACATGGAGACTAAGAGACACGGAGACGCGGGAACACGGACACACACTGAGACACGGAGACACAGAGACTCGGGGACTCGGAGACACATTGAGACACGGGGACACGGACACACACTAAGACACAGAGACACAGAGACTCGGAGACACGGGGACACGGAGCCAAACACACTGAGACACGGAGACACAGACACACATTGAGACAGAGACTCAGAGACTCGGAGACTCGGGGACGCGGGGACACGGAGACACACACGGGGGACACTGAGACACGGAGACACAGACACACATGGGCACACGGAGACACAGACACACACAGAGACACTGAGACACGGAGACAGACACACACAGAGACACGGAGACACACATGGGCACACGGAGACAGACACACACAGAGACACTGAGACACGGAGACAGACACACACAGAGACACTGAGACACGGAGACACAGGGGCGCGGGGACATGGAGACACGGAGACAGACACACACGGAAACATGGAGACACGGAGACACGGAGACACAGAGACACAGACACGGAGACACTCGGAGACACATTGAGACACGGAGACACACGGAGCCACGGAGACACACGGAGACACGGAGACTCGGGGACACTGGGACACGGAGACAAACACACTGAGACACGGAGACACAGACGCAAACAGAGACACAGACACGGAGACAAACACACTGAGACACGGAGACACAGACACACACGGAGACACATTGAGACACGGGGACACTGGGACACGGAGACACGGAGACACACGGAGACACATTGAGACACGGAGACACATGGAGACACGGAGACACACGGAGACACATTGAGACACGGAGACACATTGAGACACGGAGACACATTGAGACACAGAGACACATTGAGACACGGAGACACGCAGACACGGAGACACGGGGACACATTGAGACACAGACACACACGGAGACACGGACACACACGGAGACACAGAGACCCACAGATACACGGAGACACATTGAGACACGGAGACACGGACACACAGAGACACGGAGACACGGACACACACGGAGACACGGAGACACATTGAGACACAGAGACACGGAGACACATTGAGACACGGACACACACGGAGACACACGGGGACACATTGAGACACGGAGACACAGAGACACACAGAGACACGGAGACACAGAGACACACGGAGACACACGGAGACACTGAGACACTGAGACACGGAGACACGGAGACACGGAGACACTGAGACACGGGGACACATTGAGACACGGAGACAGACACACACGGAGACACATTGAGACACGGACACACACGGAGACACGGAGACACACTGAGACACGGAGACACAGAGACACACAGAGACACATTGAGACACAGACACACACGGAGACACGGACACACACGGAGACACGGAGACACAGAGACACAGAGACACATTGAGACACAGACACACACGGAGACAGACACACACGGAGACACACGGAGACACACGGAGACAGTCTTCTCATCACAGACGCGACGTCCTTTATTGAACCCCGAGTGGGGGTAGACTGGGACCCGGCCCGCCTCGTCTCGACAACGCAGCAGACAGTCGACCCCGCACGGACAGCACAGCGAGTTAGCCACGAGGGTGAGTGGCTGGGTGAGTGGCCGGGTGAGTGGCAGGGTGAGTGGCCGGGTGAGTGTCCGGGTGAGTGGCTGGGTGAGTGGGTGAGTGGCAGGGTGAGTGGCTGGGTGAGTGGGTGGGTGAGTGGCCGGGTGAGTGGGTGAGTGGCTGGGTGAGTGGCTGGGTGAGTGGCTGGGTGAGTGGCCGGGGGAGTGGCCGGGTGAGTGGGTGAGTGGCAGGGTGAGTGGCTGGGTGAGTGGGTGAGTGGCTGGGTGAGTGGCTGGGTGAGTGGGAGAGTGGCTGGGTGAGTGGGAGAGTGGCTGGGTGAGTGGGAGAGTGGCTGGGTGAGTGGGAGAGTGGGTGTGTGGCTGGGTGAGTGGCTGGGTGAGTGGGTGAGTGGCTGGGTGAGTGGCTGGGTGAGTGGCTGAGTGGCTGGGTGAGTGGGAGAGTGGGTGTGTGGCTGGGTGAGTGGCTGGGTGACTGGGTGAGTGGCTGGGTGAGTGGCTGAGTGGCTGGGTGAGTGGGAGAGTGGGTGTGTGGCTGGGTGAGTGGCTGGGTGAGTGGGTGAGTGGCTGGGTGAGTGGCTGAGTGGCTGGGTGAGTGGCTGAGTGGCTGGGTGAGTGGGTGAGTGGCTGGGTGAGTGGCTGGGTGAGTGGGAGAGTGGCTGGGTGAGTGGCTGGGTGAGAGTGAGTGGATGGAAGAGTGAGTGGGTGAGCGGGACAGTGGATAGGTGAGTTGGAGAGAGTGATTGGGTGAGTAGAAGAGAGTGGTTGAGTGAGTGGAAGGGTGAGTGGATGAGTGGGTAAGTGGTTGAGTGGATGAGCAGTTGAGTGAGTGGGTGAGAGAATGGTTCGATGGGCGAGTGGTTGGGTGACCCCCACGTTGCACAGATGACACGCACACACACACGTTTCCACAAAGACACTGATAAATCCCCCCCCCCCCCCATGTACAGTGGCGGTGGTGGCGGCGGTGGTGGTGGTGGTGGCGGTGAGCGGGAATCGAACTCGGCTCCCTCGCCGGGTTCGTGGCACAGCGGCGGGGTGACGCCATTGCGGCGCGGCCGTGCCAGGCTACACGCTCTGCATGCGACGCCAGTGTCGGAGTGGAGGCTTGAGACGCCCAGACCCAGGGCTTGAACCCAGACTCTCAGTGTCTCTGACACGGCCATCGTGAACCCCCTGAGAGAGACACCCAGACCCAGGGCTTGAACCCAGACTCTCAGTGTCTCTGACACGGCCATCGTGAACCCCCTGAGAGAGAGAGACACCCAGACCCAGGGCTTGAACCCAGGCTATCAGTGTCTCTGACACGGCCATCGTGAACCCCCTGAGAGAGAGAGACACCCAGACCCAGGGCTTGAACCCAGACTCTCAGTGTCTCTGACACGGCCATCGTGAACCCCCTGAGAGAGAGAGACACCCAGACCCAGGGCTTGAACCCAGGCTCTCAGTGTCTCTGACACGGCCATCGTGAACCCCCTGAGAGAGACACCCAGACCCAGGGCTTGAACCCAGACTCTCAGTGTCTCTGACACGGCCATCGTCAACCCCCTGAGAGAGAGAGACACCCAGACCCAGGGCTTGAACCCAGACTCTCAGTGTCTCTGACACGGCCATCGTGAACCCCCAGAGAGAGAGAGAGACACCCAGACCCAGGGCTTGAACCCAGACTCTCAGTGTCTCTGACACGGCCATCGTGAACCCCCAGAGAGAGAGAGAGACACCCAGACCCAGGGCTTGAATCCAGGCTCTCAGTGTCTCTGACACGGCCATCGTGAACCCCCAGAGAGAGAGAGACACCCAGACCCAGGGCTTGAACCCAGGTCTCAGTGTCTCTGACACGGCCATCATGAACCCCCCGAGAGAGAGAGACACCCAGACCCAGGGCTTGAACCCAGACTCTCAGTGTCTCTGACACGGCCATCGTGAACCCCCTGAGAGAGAGAGAGACACCCAGACCCAGGGCTTGAACCCAGACTCTCAGTGTCTCTGACACGGCCATCGTGAACCCCCTGAGAGAGAGACACCCAGACCCAGGGCTTGAACCCAGACTCTCAGTGTCTCTGACACGGCCATCGTGAACCCCCAGAGAGAGAGAGAGACACCCAGACCCAGGGCTTGAATCCAGGCTCTCAGTGTCTCTGACACGGCCATCGTGAACCCCCAGAGAGAGAGAGACACCCAGACCCAGGGCTTGAACCCAGGTCTCAGTGTCTCTGACACGGCCATCGTGAACCCCCCGAGAGAGAGAGACACCCAGACCCAGGGCTTGAACCCAGACTCTCAGTGTCTCTGACACGGCCATCGTGAACCCCCTGAGAGAGAGAGAGACACCCAGACCCAGGGCTTGAACCCAGACTCTCAGTGTCTCTGACACGGCCATCGTGAACCCCCTGAGAGAGACACCCAGACCCAGGGCTTGAACCCAGACTCTCAGTGTCTCTGACACGGACATCGTGAACCCCCTGAGAGAGAGAGAGACCCAGACCCAGGGCTTGAACCCAGACTCTCAGTGTCTCCGACACGGCCATCGTGAACCCCCTGAGAGAGAGAGACACCCAGACCCAGGGCTTGAACCCAGGTCCCCAGCACCTGTGGCAGGAGGTCTCCCACCCCTCTCACCCACCTCACTGCCCCACTTCACCCACCCGCAAAAATCGCGTCACTCTCCAACTCACCTCATCACCCTCACCACCTAGCCTCACCACCTCTCACCATTCACCACCCCTCACCCCCACCTAGCCTCACCACCCTCACCTCACCTCACCACCCCCCACACACCTCACCCGGCCCTACCCGCGACGTTCCCCACCACCACCACCGCCACCGCCGCCGCCAGCCTGCGCCTCGCCACTCGCGCGACGAGCACCGCCAGCGCGGCCGCTGCCGCGCCGGCGAGGAGCGCCGCAGCCCCGCGGAGAATCAGGCGAGGCCCGTGGCGCCGCGCGGCCTTCAAGGCCGCAGGCATCAGCGCCGAGCGGAGGACGTTGTCGGCTGGCCTGAGGACGCGCGCGAAGGCCTCGCGGCGCGCCGAGCGCTCGTAGTAGGCCGCGAGCCTCGGCCTGCGCTGCGCCGAGGGGCCCCAGCGGCGACGCGAGAGGCCCAGGAAGGAGAGGCGGTGGAGGGTGGCGACGAGGCAGGCGTCCGCCAGGCTGTAGGCGGGGCCGCACAGCCACCACAGCTCGCCGCCAGCCTCCGTGTCTAAGGGGAGGGGAGGGGGAGGGGCGAGTTAGTGGAAAGGGGAGGGGCGAGTGAATTGGGGGAGGGGCGAGTGAGTAGAGAGGGGAGGGGCGAGTGAATTGGGGGAGGGGCGAGTGAGTAGAGAGGGGAGGGGCGAGTGAGGAGAGAGGGGAGGGGCGAGTGAGTAGAGAGGGGAGGGGCGAGTGAGGGGAGAGGGGAGGGGCGAGTGAGTAGGGGAGAGTGAATTGGGGGAGGGGCGAGTGAGTAGAGGGGAGGGGCGAGTGAGTAGAGAGGGGAGGGGCGAGTGAGTAGAGGGGAGGGGCGAGTGAGTAGGGGGGAGTGAATTGGGGGAGGGGCGAGTGAGTAGAGGGGAGGGGCGAATGAGGAGAGAGGGGAGGGGCGAGTGAGGAGAGGGGAGGGGCGAGTGAGTAGAGAGGGGGAGGGGGCGAGTGAGCAGGGGGGAGTGAATTGGGGGAGGGGCGAGTGAGTAGAGAGGAGGGGCGAGTGAGTAGAGGGGCGAGTGAGTAGAGGGGCGAGTGAGTAGAGAGGGGAGGGGCGAGTGAGGAGAGAGGGGAGGGGCGAGTGAGTAGAGAGGGGAGGGGCGAGTGAGGGGAGAGGGGAGGGGCGAGTGAGTAGGGGAGAGTGAATTGGGGGAGGGGCGAGTGAGTAGAGGGGAGGGGCGAGTGAGTAGAGAGGGGAGGGGCGAGTGAGTAGAGGGGAGGGGCGAGTGAGTAGGGGGGAGTGAATTGGGGGAGGGGCGAGTGAGTAGAGGGGAGGGGCGAATGAGGAGAGAGGGGAGGGGCGAGTGAGGAGAGGGGAGGGGCGAGTGAGTAGAGAGGGGAGGGGCGAGTGAGCAGGGGGGAGTGAATTGGGGGAGGGGCGAGTGAGTAGGGGAAGGGGTGAGTGGGTAGAGGGGAGGGGCGAGTGAGGAGAGGGGAGGGGCGAGTGAGTAGAGGGGCGAGTGAGTAGAGAGGGGAGGGGCGAGTGAGTAGAGGGGCGAGTGAGTAGAGAGGGGAGGGGCGAGTGAGTAGGGGGGAGTGAATTGGGGGAGGGGCGAGTGAGTAGAGGGGAGGGGCGAGTGAGTAGAGGGGCGAGTGAGTAGAGGGGCGAGTGAGTAGAGAGGGGAGGGGCGAGTGAGTAGAGGGGCGAGTGAGTAGAGAGGGGAGGGGCGAGTGAGTAGGGGGGAGTGAATTGGGGGAGGGGCGAGTGAGTAGAGGGGAGGGGCGAGTGAGTAGAGAGGGGAGGGGCGAGTGAGAGGGGGGAGGGGCGAGTGAGTAGGGGGGAGTGAATTGGGGGAGGGGCGAGTGAGTAGGGGGGAGGGGCGAGTGAGGAGAGAGGGGAGGGGCGAGTGAGGGGGGAGGGGCGAGTGAGGGGGATGGGCGAGTGAGGAGGGAGAGGGGCGAGTGAATAAGGGGAGGGGCGAGTGAGAAGGGGGAGGGGCGAATGAGTAGGGGGAGGGGCGAATGAGTCGGGGCGAATGAGTAGGGGGAGGGGCGAGTAAGGGGGGAGGGGCGAATGAGTGGGGGGAGGGGCGAATGAGTAGGGGGAGGGGCGAGTAAGGGGGGAGGGGCGGGAGGGTCTCTTGCCGGGTTCATCGTGCAGTGCTAACCGCTGCGCCACCGCTCCTCACACTCACGAACTGAGACGACTGGCTGATGCACCACCTATGCCCCCTACTGTGCCACTCACACTCACTCACACACTCACCCACTCACCCTCTCACCCACTCACCCACTCTCTCACCCATCCACCCATCCACCCACCCACCCATCCACCCATCCACCCACCCGTCCACCCACTCACCCACCCGTCCACCCACTCACCCACCCGTCCACCCACTCACCCACCCGTCCACCCACTCACCCACCCGTCCACCCACTCACCCACCCGTCCACCCACTCACCCACCCGTCCACCCACTCACCCACCCGTCCACCCACTCACCCACCCGTCCACCCACTCACCCACCCACCCGTCCACCCACTCACCCACCCACCCGTCCACCCACTCACCCACCCACCCGTCCACCCACTCACCCACCCACCCGTCCACCCACTCACCCACCCGTCCACCCACTCACCCACCCGTCCACCCACTCACCCACCCGTCCACCCACTCACCCACCCGTCCACCCACTCACCCACCCGTCCACCCACTCACCCACCCGTCCACCCACTCACCCACCCGTCCACCCACTCACTCACCCACCCGTCCACCCACTCACCCACCCGTCCACCCACTCACTCACCCACCCGTCCACCCACTCACCCACCCGTCCACCCACTCACCCACCCGTCCACCCACTCACTCACCCACCCATCCACCCACTCACCCACCCATCCACCCACTCACCCACCCACTCACCCACCCACTCACCCACCCACTCACCCACCCACTCACCCACCCACTCACCATCTCACCAGCTCACCATCTCACCCACTCTCTCATCCACTCTCTCATCCACTCACCATCTCAACAAAGACACAAAGATCCCCCATATAGCCTGTAACAGACTGTAGGGTACTCAGCCTCAAATGAGTACCAGGTACTCATTTGAGGCTGAGTCGACCTAGGGGAGGCCCGGGACCGGTTCAGATAATCGTCACTGGTGGTGGCCGTGAGCGGGAATCGAACCCGGGTCGCCAGGTTCATAGCGCAGCGCGCTAACCGCTACACTATCGCTTCCCACAACTCACCATCTCACCCACCCTCTCACCCACTCACCATCTCACCCATTCTCTCACCCACCCTCTCACTCACCATCTCACCCACTCTCTCACTCACCCTCTCACCCACTCTCTCACCCACTCACCCTCTCACCCACTCCCTCACCCACCATCTCACCCACTCTCTCACTCACCATCTCACCCACTCTTTCGCTCACCATCTCACCCACTCTCTCACCCACCCTCTCACCCACGCTCTCACCCACTCACAATCTCATCCACTCACCCACTCACCATCTCACCCTCTCACCCACTCACCCTCTCACCCACTCTCTCAGCCACTCTCTCACCCACTCACCCACTCACCATCTCACCCTCTCACCCACTCACCATCTCACCCTCTCACCCACTCTCTCACCCACTCACCCACTCTCTCACCCTCTCATCCACTCACCTACTCACCATCTCACCCACTCACCCACTCACCATCTCACCCACTCACCCACTCACCATCTCACCCTCTCACCCACACTCTCACCCACTCACCCACTCACCATCTTACCCACTCACCCACTCACAATCTCACCATCTCACCCACCCTCTCGCCCACCCACCCTCTCACTCACCCACTCACCCACTCACCATCTCCCCCACTCGCCCACTCACCCACTCACCATCTCACCCACACACTATCTCACCCACTCACCATCTCACCCACTCACCATCTCACCCTCTCACCCACTCACCATCTCACCCTCTCACCATCTCACCCACTCTCTCACTCACTCTTTCACCCACTCTCTCAACCTCTCACCCACCCACTCACCCACTCACCAATCACCATCTCACCCACTCACTCTTTCACCTACTAGCCCACTCACCATCTCACCATCTCACCCATTCACCTACTCACCCACTCACCATCTCACCCACTCACCCACTCTCTCACCCTCTCACCCACCCACTCACCATCTCACCATCTCAACATCTCACCCTCTCACTCTCTCACCCTCTGACCCACCCACTCACCAACTTACCCACTCTCTCACTCACCCACTCTCTCACTCACTCTCTCACCCACTCACCATCTCACCCTCTCACCATCTCACCCTCTCACCCACCCTCTCACCCACTCTCTCACCCACTCACCATCTCACTCACCCTATCACTCACTCACCCTCTCACTCACCCTCTCACTCACCCACCCACTAACTCTCTCACTCACTCACCCTCTCACTCACCCCCTCACTCACCCACCCACTTACCCTCTCACTCTCTCCATCTCTCACCCTTTCACCCTCTCACCATCTCACCATCTCACCCTCTCACCCTTTCACCCTCTCACCATCTCACCATCTCACCCACTCACCCTCTCACCCTCTCACCCTCTCACCCTCTCACCCACTCACCTACCCTCTCACGCACCCTCTCACCCACTCACCCTCTCACGCACTCTCTCACCCACTCACCCACTCACCATCTAACCCTCTCACCATCTCACCCACTCACCCTCTCACGCACTCTCTCACCCACTCACCCACTCACCATCTCACCCACCCTCTCACCCACTCACCCACTCACCATCTCACCCACTCACCATCTCACCCACTCTCTCACTCTCTCACCCACTCTCTCACCCACTCACTCTCTCACTCTCTCACCCACTCACCCACTCACCATCTCACCCACTCTCTCACTCTCTCACCCACTCTCTCACCCACTCTCTCACCCACCCTCTCACCCACTCACCATCTCAACCACTTTCTCACCCACTCTCTCACCCACTCACCATCTCACCCTCTCACCCACTCTCACACTCACTCTCTCACCCACTCACCCACTCACCCTCTCACCCACTCACCCACTCACCCTCTCACCATCTCACCCACTCACCATCTCACTCTCTCACTCACCCACTCACCCACTCACCCTCTCACCCACTCACCATCTCACTCTCTCACTCACCTGGGCTCTCCTGGCTGCGCTGTTCAAGTTCCGTCTCCACCTGATCCAGAACCCGGTCCAGATCTTCCAACACGCGCTCCACGTGTGCCAGGTCATCCTGCTCCAGTAGCTTAGACTACATTATACACCACACATACACACACAGTGATACATTATACACACACACACACAGTGATACATTATACACCACACATACACACACTGATACATTATACACCACACATACACACACAGTGATACATTATACACTACACACACATACACTGATACATTATACACCACACATACACACACAGTGATACATTATACACTACACACACACACACACTGATACATTATACACCACACATACACACACAGTGATACATTATACACCACACACACACACAGTGATACATTATACACTACACACACATAGTGATACATTATACACTACACACACAGTGATACATGATACACCACACATACACACACAGTGATACATTATACACTACACACACAGTGATACATTATACACCACACATACACACACAGTGATACATTATACACCACACACACACACTGATACATTATACACCACACACACACAGTGATACATTATACACTACACACACACACACAGTGATACATTATACACCACACACAGTGATACATTATACACTACACACACAGTGATACATTATACACCACACACACACAGTGATACATTATACACTACACACACATAGTGATACATTATACACCACACATCCACACACACAGTGATACATTATACACTACACACACACAGTGATACATTATACACCACACATACATACAGTGATACATTATACACTACACACACACTGATACATTATACACTACACACACACAGTGATACATTATACACCACACACAGTGATACATTATACACCACACATATACACACAGTGATACATTATACACTACACACACACAGTGATACATTATACACTACACACACACACACAGTGATACATTATACACCACACATACACACACAGTGATACATTATACACTACACATACACACAGTGATACATTATACACTACACACACACAGTGATACATTATACACTACACACACACACACAGTGATACATTATACACTACACATACACACAGTGATACATTATACACTACACACACACACAGTGATACATTATACACTACACACACACACACAGTGATACATTATACACTACACACACACAGTGATACATTATACACTACACACACAGTGATACATTATACACTACACACACACACACAGTGATACATTATACACTACACACACACAGTGATACATTATACACCACACATACACACACACAGTGATACATTATACACTACACACACAGTGATACATTATATACTACACACACAGTGATACATTGTACACTACACACACAGTGATACATTATACACTACACACACATAGTGATACATTATACACTACACACACACAGTGATACATTATACACTACACACATACAGTGATACATTATACACCACACACACAAACACTGATACATTATACACCACACATACACACACACAGTGATACATTATACACAACACACACACCGATACATTATACACCACACATACATACAGTGATACATTATACACTGCACACACAGTGATACATTATACACTACACACACAGTGATACATTATACACTACACACACATAGTGATACATTATACACTACACACACACAGTGATACATTATACACTACACACATACAGTGATACATTATACACTACACACACATACAGTGATACATTATACACCACACATACACACACACAGTGATACATTATACACCACACACAGTGATACATTATACACCACACATACACACAGTGATACATTATACACTACACACACACACAGTGATACATTATACACCACACACAGTGATACATTATACACCACACACACACAGTGATACATCATACACTACACACACAGTGATACATTATACACCACACATACACACACAGTGATACATTATACACTACACACATACACACACAGTGATACATTATACACCACACACACACAGTGATACATTATACACTACACACACACATGATACATTATACACCACACACACACACACACAGTGATACATTATACACCACACACACACACAGTGATACATTATACACCACACATACACACACACAGTGATACATTATACACTACACACACAGTGATACATTATATACTACACACACAGTGATACATTGTACACTACACACACAGTGATACATTATACACTACACACACATAGTGATACATTATACACTACACACACACAGTGATACATTATACACTACACACATACAGTGATACATTATACACCACACACACACACACTGATACATTATACACCACACATACACACACACAGTGATACATTATACACAACACACACACCGATACATTATACACCACACATACATACAGTGATACATTATACACTGCACACACAGTGATACATTATACACTACACACACAGTGATACATTATACACTACACACACATAGTGATACATTATACACTACACACACACAGTGATACATTATACACTACACACATACAGTGATACATTATACACTACACACACATACAGTGATACATTATACACCACACATACACACACACAGTGATACATTATACACCACACACAGTGATACATTATACACCACACATACACACAGTGATACATTATACACTACACACACACACAGTGATACATTATACACCACACACAGTGATACATTATACACCACACACACACAGTGATACATCATACACTACACACACAGTGATACATTATACACCACACATACACACACAGTGATACATTATACACTACACACATACACACACAGTGATACATTATACACCACACACACACAGTGATACATTATACACTACACACACACATGATACATTATACACCACACACACACACAGTGATACATTATACACCACACACACACACAGTGATACATTATACACTACACACACAGTGATACATTATACACTACACAGACACACACAGTGATACATTATACACCACACACAGTGATACATTATACACTACACACACACACACAGTGATACATTATACGCCACACACAGTGATACATTATACACCACACACACACACATACAGTGATACATTATACACCACACATACACACACAGTGATACATTATACACTACACACACAGTGATACATTATACACCACACACACAGTGATACATCATACACTACACACACACAGTGATACATTATACACTACACACACACACAGTGATACATTATACACCACACACAGTGATACATTATACAATACACACACACAGTGATACATTATACACCACACATACACACACACAGTGATACATTATACACTACACACACAGTGATACATTATACACCACACACAGTGATACATTATACACCACACACACACAGTGATACATCATACACTACACACACACAGTGATACATTATACACTGCACACACATAGTGATACATTATACACTACACACATACAGTGATACATTATACACCACACACACACAGTGATACATCATACACCACACACACACAGTAATACATTATACACCACACACACACACACAGTGATACATTATACACTACACACACACATACAGTGATACATTATACACTGCACACACACTGATACATTATACACTACACACATACAGTGATACATTATACACCACACACACACTGATACATTATACACTACACACAGTGATACATTATACACTACATACACACAGTGATACCTTATACACTACACACACACAGTGATAGATTATACACTACACACATACAGTGATACATTATACACTACACATACAGTGATACATTATACACCACACACAGTGATACATTATACACTACACACACACAGTGATACATTATACACTACACACACACACAGTGATACTTTATACACTACACACACACAGTGATAGATTATACACTACACACATACAGTGATACATTATACACTACACATACAGTGATACATTATACACCACACACAGTGATACATTATACACTACACACACACAGTGTAACATTATACCCTACACACAAAGTGATACATTATACACTACACACACACAGTGATACATTATACACTACACATACAGTGATACATTATACACCACACACAGTGATACATTATACACTACACACACACAGTGATACATTATACACTACACACACACAGTGATACATTATACACTACACATACATTGATACATTATACACCACACACAGTGATACATTATACACTACACACAGTGATACATTATACACCACACACAGTGATATATTATACACTACACACATAGTGATACATTATACACTACACACACACACACAGTGATACATTGTATCACTGTGTGTGGGTGTGGATGTGGGTGTGTATGTGTGATTATTCAACATCGCCTTGCCAGGCACGCTGAGGAGAGGCTTGCAGAGCCCCAGTGCGGTTTCAAGAAAGGGCGGTCCTGCACAGATGCCATATTTTCTGTCCGTCTGCTATAGCAGAGGTGTAGGGAATTCCAACAAGACCTACATCTCTGCTTTATTGACCTGGTCAAGGCCTATGATACCATCAATGGGCCTGGGCTCTGGGTTGTTCTTCGTGCTTTTGGAGTACCTGACCCTCTGCTCACGATCATTAAGGACCTTCATGATGGTGAGCGGGCCCGGGTAAAACTACGTGGCCGGGAGTCAGAGCCATTCCCTGTACACCTTGGGGTGCGACAGGGATGTCCTCTGGCTCCCACATTATTTAACATCTATTTTGACCACGTAGTTCGTGAAGCCTTCAATAGCTGTACCGGGGGAATCTCCATATGGTACAGATATAATGGGAGGCTAATCGATGCCCGGGTGCGGTCAAGGGATGGCTCCCTATTGCTCAACCACGTTATGTATGCTGATGATTTGGTAATAGCTGCTCAGTCAGAGGAGGAGTTGGAGACGCTGCTGCTGAGACTGGAGCATGCCACTAAGAGGTGGGGCCTTACCATCAGCCCCACCAAAACTAAGCACCTGCCTGGGTATTTTGTACCATCGGACACTCCACCCCCACAACTCCCAATCGGTGATGGGGCAGTTGTGGAGAGAGTGGAGAGTTTCCCATACCTGGGCAGTGTGCTTATGACTGGCTCCATTTTAACAGCAGAGGTCTCACTCCGAATCAGTCGAGCGGCAATATCTTTTCATCGGTTGCGTAACGCTGTGTGGAAGCTACCTGGTCTGTCGCTCCGCACTAAGCTTCAGGTCTTCTCGGCCATGGTCATTCCCTCCCTTCTCTACGCTTGCGAAACGTGGACCCCCCTAATGGAACATCTTCGCCGGTTAGAAACATTTAGGCTGGCCTGCCTACGATCCATCCTGGGTTTAACCAGACTGGATTGTGTGAGGAGCTCACAAATCCTTGAAAGATCTGGGCAGGGTCCCATCGGTGAGCTCCTCCGGCAGGCAAGGCTGCGAAGGCTGGGTCATGTAGCCCGCATGCCCAGCCACCGCATGCCGAAACAGCTTTTGTTTGACCGGATTGAGGGGGCTAAGCGGGCGCGGCACGGGCTAGAGAGGAGATGGAGTGATGTGGTACAGGAGGACGTGGAGCTGAGTGGACTTGCCGATGACTGGTACCAGCGGTGTCAAGATCGGCCTCTGTGGAGGAGGCTCGTGAAGGATGCTACTGGGCAGTTGGAGGCAGTCGCCCTCCAACAACAACGGAGGACGGAGGAGCGACGCTCAGAACAATGAGCGGAGCGCCGGTTGGCTAAAGCACAGCAGGTTGGCACAGTAGGGGGCACAGGTGGTGCATCAGCCAGTCATCTCAGTCAGTCGACCCGTGGCACCTGCTGGGTCTGCCCCGTGACCTCCTGCCAGCGGGCGTTCGACACTTCACGTGACCTCAGGGTGCACCTAGCCTGGCACAAGCGTCGTGGTGACGTCACCGCCACTTAGTGGCAAATGGCGGTTGTTGTTGTTGTAGGTGTGTAGGTGTATGTGTGTGTAGGTGTGTGTAGGTGTGTGTAGGTGTGTGTAGGTGATGGTGGCAGTGGGCACCTTGAACCGGCGCAGCTTGCCCAGGTAGAGGTCACGCATCTCTGGATGCTCCCTGGCCAGTTTCTTCAGCTCCGCATCCGTGTTGATGATCTGATCTGCTCCACGCGGGGTGTGGGGGTGTGTGTGGGTGTGTGGGTGTGTGTGGGTGTGTGGGTGTGTGTGGTTAGGTGTGGGTGTGTGGGTGGGTGTGTTTGTGTGTGGGTGTGTGGGTGGGTGAGCGAGCGGGTGGGTGAGTAGGTGGGTGAGCGAGTGAGTAAGCGAGCGGGTGAGCGGGCGAGCGAACGGGTGGGTGAGCGAGTGGGTGAGTGGGCGGGTGGGTGAGCGGGCGAGTGGGTGAGTGGGTGAGTGAGTGGGTAGGTGAGCGGGTGGGTGAGCGGGTGGGTGAGTGGGTGGGTGAGCAAGTGGGTGAGCGGGTGGGTGGTTGAGTGAGTGGGTGGGTGAGTGGGTGGGTGGGTGAGCTGGTGAGTGGGTGGGTGAGCGAGTGGGTGAGCAGGTGGGTGAGCGAGTGGGTGAGCGGGTGGGTGAGTGGGTGGGTGAGCAGGTGGGTGAGCGAGTGGGTGAGCGGGTGGGTGAGCGAGTGGGTGAGCGGGTGGGTGAGTGGGGTGGGTGAGTGGGTGGGTGGTTGAGTGGGTGGGTGAGTGGGTGGTTGAGCGAGTGGGTGAGTTGGTGAGTGGGTGGGTGAGCGAGTGGATGAGTGAGCGGGTGGGTGAGTGGGTGGGTGGGTGGGTGAGCGAGTGGGTGAGTGGGTGAGCGAGCGAGCAGGCGAGCGGGCGGGTGAGCGAGCGAGCGGGCGGGCGAGCGGGTGGGTGAGTGGGTGAGCGAGTGAGCGAGTATGTAGGGTGAGCGAGCGAGCGGGCGGGCGAGCGGGTGGGTGAGTGGGTGGGTGAGCGAGCGAGCGAGCGGGCGACTCACTGCGAATGTGTGCCGTGGCGAATGCGGGCAGACTGCCGTGGCTGGCGAGGTGCGGGTGCAGGATGCAGCCGTGAGTGTACGTGTCCACGGGCAGCGAGTCAAGCAGCTCCCGGTAGTGCTGCACGCGGGCCAGGTACGGGCTGCCCGCCTCCGGCAGGAGTCGGGGCACCGCGTCTGGCACGGCGGAGGAGGTGGGGGGGTGGCGGTTGGGGGGGTTGGATACGTGGGTGGGCGGGTGAGTGAGTGGGTGAGTGAGTTAGTGGGTGAGTGAGTTAGTGGGTGAGTGAGTGAGTGAGTGGGTGGTCGAGTGAGTGGGTGGGTGAGTGAGTGGGTGGGTGGGTGAGTGGGTGGGTGGGTGAGTGGGTAGGTGGGTGGGTGAGTGAGTGGGTGAGTGAGTGGGTGAGTCAGTTAGTGGGTGAGTGAGTGAGTGAGTGGGTGGGTGAGTGAGTGGGTGGGTGGGTGAGTGGGTGAGTGGGTGGGTGGGTGGGTGAGTGGGTAGGTGGGTGAGTGGGTAGGTGGGTGGGTGGGTGAGTTGGTGGGTGGGTGAGTGGGTGGGTGAGTGGGTGGGTGAGTGAGTGGGTAGGTGGGTGAGTGGGTGGGTGGGTGAGTGGGTGGGTGAGTGAGTGGGTGGGTGGGTGAGTGGGTGGGTGAGTGAGTGGGTAGGTGGGTGAGTAGGTAGGTGGGTGGGTGGGTGAGTGAGTGGGTGGGTGGGTGGGTGAGTGGGTGGGTGAGTGAGTGGGTGGGTGGGTGAGTGGGTAGGTGGGTGGGTGGGTGAGTGAGTGGGTGAGTGGGTGGGTGAGTGAGTGGGTGAGGGGCTGAGTGAGTTAGTGAGTGTGTGGGTGGGTGAGTTAGTGGGTGAGTTAGTGGGTGAGTTAGTGGTTGAGTGAGTGAGTGAGCGAGCGGGTGGGTGAGTGGATGAGTGAGTGAGTGAGTTAGTGGTTGAGTGAGTGAGCGGGTGGGTGAGTGGGTGAGTGAGTGAGTGAGTTAATGGTTGAGTGAGTGAGTGAGCGAGCGAGCGGGTGAGTGAGTGGGTGAGTGGGTGAGTGAGTGAGTTAGTGGGTGAGCGAGCGAGTGAGCGAGCGAGTGAGTTAGTGGTTGAGTGAGTGGGTGAGCGAGCGGGTGGGTGAGTGAGCGGGCGAGCGAGCGTCTGGCTGGCTGGTGGCGCGTCCGCCCTCACCGCCCGTGAACGTCTCCTCCAGGTAAGTGACGATGGCGTCCGCCTGGCACACCACGACTTTGCCGTGCACCAGCACCGGCACCTCGCCGGCCGGGTTGAGCCGCATGAACCACGGCTCGTTGTGCTCGTTGAGGGGCAGGCAGACCTCGCGCTCCTCACACGCCAGACGCTTCTCACAGATCACCAGCCGCACCTGCGGAGGTGGTGGGGGCGGTGGTGGTGGCGGTGATTCACGCCGATGGAGGAGGAGGAGGTTCAAGCGGCGGTGTTGCCAGGAGCTGGGCGGTGACTTCTGCCGTTGCCCTAGGGGGGCACGCCCCCCTCAACCCCCCCCCCGCCCAGGTGACAGCTGTCTCTGTGTCTGCTGTCACTCACATCACCAGGTGACGTCACTCACATCACCAGGTGACGTCACTCACATCACCAGGTGATGTCACTCACATCACCAGGTGACATGGACATCACTCACATCACCAGGTGACATGGACATCACTCACATCACCAGGTGACGTCACTCACATCACCAGGTGACGTCACTCACATCACCAGGTGACATCACTCACATCACCAGGTGACGTCACTCACATCACCAGGTGACATCACTCACATCACCAGGTGACGTCACTCATATGACCAGGTGACGTCACTCACATCACTCACATCACCAGGTGTCATGAACATCACTCACATCACCAGGTGACGTCACTCACATCACCAGGTGACGTCACTCACATCACTCACATCACCAGGTGACATGGACATCACTCACATCACCAGGTGACGTCACTCACATCACCAGGTGACGTCACTCACATCACCAGGTGTCACCACTCACATCACCAGGTGACATGAACATCACATCACCAGGTGACATGGACATCACTCACATCACCAGGTGACATGGACATCACTCACATCACCAGGTGACGTCACTCACATCACCAGGTGACGTCACTCACATCACTCACATCACCAGGTGACATGGACATCACTCACATCACCAGGTGACGTCACTCACATCACCAGGTGACATCACTCACATCACCAGGTGACGTCACTCACATCACCAGGTGACATCACTCACATCACCAGGTGACGTCACTCACATCACCAGGTGACGTCACTCACATCACCAGGTGACGTCACTCACATCACTCACATCACCAGGTGTCATGAACATCACTCACATCACCAGGTGACGTCACTCACATCACCAGGTGACGTCACTCACATCACTCACATCACCAGGTGACATGGACATCACTCACATCACCAGGTGACATGGACATCACTCACATCACCAGGTGACGTCACTCACATCACCAGGTGACGTCACTCACATCACCAGGTGACGTCACTCACATCACTCACATCACCAGGTGTCATGAACATCACTCACATCACCAGGTGACGTCACTCACATCACCAGGTGATGTCACTCACATCACTCACATCACCAGGTGACATGGACATCACTCACATCACCAGGTGACATGGACATCACTCACATCACCAGGTGACGTCACTCACATCACCAGGTGACATCACTCACATCACCAGGTGACGTCACTCACATCACCAGGTGACATCACTCACATCACCAGGTGACGTCACTCACATCACCAGGTGACATCACTCACATCACCAGGTGACGTCACTCACATCACCAGGTGACGTCACTCACATCACCAGGTGACGTCACTCACATCACTCACATCACCAGGTGTCATGAACATCACTCACATCACCAGGTGACGTCACTCACATCACCAGGTGATGTCACTCACATCACTCACATCACCAGGTGACATGGACATCACTCACATCACCAGGTGACATGGACATCACTCACATCACCAGGTGACGTCACTCACATCACCAGGTGACATCACTCACATCACCAGGTGACGTCACTCACATCACCAGGTGACATCACTCACATCACCAGGTGACGTCACTCACATCACCAGGTGACATCACTCACATCACCAGGTGACGTCACTCACATCACCAGGTGACATCACTCACATCACCAGATGACGTCACTCACATCACCAGGTGACGTCACTCACATCACTCACATCACCAGGTGTCATGAACATCACTCACATCACCAGGTGACGTCACTCACATCACCAGGTGACGTCACTCACATCACTCACATCACCAGGTGACATGGACATCACTCACATCACCAGGTGACGTCACTCACATCACCAGGTGACGTCACTCACATCACCAGGTGACGTCACTCACATCACCAGGTGACATCACTCACATCACCAGGTGACGTCACTCACATCACCAGGTGTCACCACTCACATCACCAGGTGACATGAACATCACATCACCAGGTGACATGGACATCACTCACATCACCAGGTGACGTCACTCACATCACCAGGTGACGTCACTCACATCACCAGGTGACGTCACTCACATCACTCACATCACCAGGTGACATGGACATCACTCACATCACCAGGTGACGTCACTCACATCACCAGGTGACGTCACTCACATCACCAGGTGACATCACTCACATCACCAGGTGACGTCACTCACATCACCAGGTGACATCACTCACATCACCAGATGACGTCACTCACATCACCAGGTGACGTCACTCACATCACTCACATCACCAGGTGTCATGAACATCACTCACATCACCAGGTGACGTCACTCACATCACCAGGTGACGTCACTCACATCACTCACATCACCAGGTGACATGGACATCACTCACATCACCAGGTGACGTCACTCACATCACCAGGTGACGTCACTCACATCACCAGGTGACGTCACTCACATCACCAGGTGACATCACTCACATCACCAGGTGACGTCACTCACATCACCAGGTGTCACCACTCACATCACCAGGTGACATGAACATCACATCACCAGGTGACATGGACATCACTTACATCACCAGGTGACGTCACTCACATCACCAGGTGACGTCACTCACATCACCAGGTGACGTCACTCACATCACTCACATCACCAGGTGACATGGACATCACTCACATCACCAGGTGACGTCACTCACATCACCAGGTGACGTCACTCACATCACCAGGTGACATCACTCACATCACCAGGTGACGTCACTCACATCACCAGGTGACATCACTCACATCACCAGGTGACGTCACTCACATCACCAGGTGACGTCACTCACATCACTCACATCACCAGGTGTCATGAACATCACTCAAATCACCAGGTGACGTCACTCACATCACCAGGTGACGTCACTCACATCACTCACATCACCAGGTGACATGGACATCACTCACATCACCAGGTGACATGGACATCACTCACATCACCAGGTGACGTCACTCACATCACCAGGTGACGTCACTCACATCACCAGGTGACGTCACTCACATCACCAGGTGTCGTCACTCACATCACTAGGTGATAGCACTCACATCACCAGGTGACGTCACTCACATCACCAGGTGGCATCACTCACATCACCAGGTGACGTCACTCACATCACCAGGTGACGTCACTCACATCACCAGGTGACGTCACTCACATCACCAGGTGTCACGAACATCACTCACATCACCCGCATTGACCAGAGTGGTGAAGTATGGTCAATACCACCACCCCACCCATCATATCCCAGCCTCATCCAGCAGTGGATTAACACGTTACGGACTGCACCCGAATTGCATTGTTGGGCAGTACTCCTACGCTCCCCGGCATGCATCATCCCCCATTGACCAGAGTGGTGAAGTATGGTCAATACCACCACCCCACCCATCATATCCCAGACTCATCCAGCAGTAGAGAACCCGAGGTTGTTGGCATGTCTCACCTTTTGCGAGGCGAACGACTGGCTCCAGTGATAGAGGAGCAGGCCTCCCACCTCCTCCTCCACCTCCTCCTCCATCACCTCGTCCACCTCCTCCTCCACCACCTCGTCCATCATCGCTCTCGCAGCGTTGAAGTCTCCTGCTGTGGTGCAGGGAGACGTGGGGGGAGGTGGTGGAGTAGGGGGCGTGGTTTGGGTGGTTGCGGGGCGGGGTTGAGGGCGGGGTTTGGTTGCTTGGGGGGTTGGGGGTTAGGTTGGTTTGGGGGCGGGGTTTGGGTGGTTGGAGGCGGGGTTTGGGTGGTTGGAGGCGGGGTTTGGTTGGTTGGGGAGCGGGGATTGGGTGGTTGGAGGCGGGGTTGAGGGCGGGGATTGGGTGGTTGGAGGCGGGGTTTGGTTGGGTTGGGGGCGGGGTTGAAGGCGGGGTTTGGGTGGTTGGAGGCGGGGTTTGGTTGGTTGAAAGCGTGGATTGGGTGGTTGGGGGCGGGGTTGAGGGCGGGGTTTGGTTGCTTGGGGGGTGGGGTTAGGTTGGTTTGGGGGCGGGGTTGAGGGCGGGGTTTGGGTGGTTGTAGGCGGGGTTTGGGTGGTTGGAGGCGGGGTTTGGTTGGTTGGAGAGCGGGGATTGATTGGGTGGTTGGGGGCAGAGTTGGGTTGAGAACGGGGATTGGGTGATTGGGGGCGGGGTTTGGGTGGTTGGAGGCGGGGTTTGGTTGGTTGGGGAGCGGGGATTGGGTGGTTGGGGGCGGGGTTTGGGTGGTTGGAGGCGGGGTTTGGTTGGTTGGGGAGCGGGGATTGGGTGGTTGGGGGCGGGGTTGGGTTGGGGGAGGGGTGGGTGGGGAGTGGGGGGCGTGGTGGGTTGGGAGGGAGTAAAGGGGCGAGGCCTTTCCGACGTCAAGCGATGACGTCTGCGAGGGGGGCGGAGGCTCGTAGAGATGTAAATATGGTGACGTCAGCGAAGGGGTGTGGACTGAGGGGGGGGGGAGCTAAACACGATGACGTCGCCGAGAGGGCGGGGACTCTGCGTCATTAAAATATGGTGACGTCACCAGGGGGCGTGGACAGGAAAATAAATAAGGGTGACGTCACCGAGGTGGAGGGGGCGACGACTGGAAATCAAATGCGGTGACGTTCCTTTGGCGGCGGGATGACGTCACGGCGGGGGGGTGTCTGGGAAATAAACACGAAGACGTCATCGAGAGGGCGTGGACCTGAAAATAAATACGATGACGTCACCAAGGAGGTGTGGCTTAAAGGAATAATTTGTTGAGGTCTGTGTATCTCTATGGTCTCTATGTATCTCTATGTATCGCTATGGGTCTCTATGTATCTCTATGGGTCTCTATGTATCTCTATGTATCTCTATGAGTCTCTATGTATCTCTATGTATCTCTATGGGTCTCTATGTATCTCTATGTATCTCTGTGGGTCTCTATGTATCTCTATGGGTTTCTATGTATCTCTATGGGTCTCTGTGTATCTCTATGTATATCTATGGGTCTCTATGGGTCTCTATGTATCTCTATAGGTCTCTATGTATCTCTATGGGTCTCTATGTATCTCTATAGGTCTCTATGGGTCTCTATGTATCTCTATGGGTCTCTATGTATCTCTGTGGGTCTCTATGTATCTCTATGGGTTTCTATGTATCTCTATGGGTCTCTGTGTATCTCAATGTATATCTATGGGTCTCTATGTATCTCTATATGTGTATGTATCTCTATGGGTCTCTATGTATCTCTATGGGTCTCTATGTATCTCTATGGGTCTCTATGTATCTCTATGGGTCTATGTATCTCTATGGGTCTCTATGGGTCTATATGGGTCTCTATGTATCTCTATGGGTCTCTATGTATCTCTATGTATCTCTATGGGTCTCTATGGGTCTCTATGGGTCTGTATGGGTCTCTATGTATTTCTGTGTATCTCTATGTATCTCTATGGGTCTCTATGGGTCTCTATGTATCTCTATGGGTCTCTATGTATCTATATGGGTCTCTATGTATATCTATGTATCTCTATGTGTCTCTATGCATCTCTACAGGTCTCTATGTATCTCTATGTGTCTCTATGTATCTCTATGGGTCTCTATGTATCTCTATGTATCTCTATGGGTCTCTATGTATCTCTATGTATCTCTATGGGTCTCTATGGGTCTCTGTGTATCTCTATGGGTCTCTATGTATCTGTATGGGTCTCTTTGGGTCTCTATGTATCTCTATGGGTCTCTATGTATCTCAATAGATCTATATGGGTCTCTATGTATCTCTATGGGTCTCTATGTATCTCTATGGGTCTCTGTATCTCTATGGGTCTCTATGTATCTCTATGGGTCTCTCTGTGTCTATATGGGTCTCTATGTATCTCTATGGGTCTCTATGGGTCTTTATGTATCTATATGGGTCTCTATGTATCACTATGTATCTCTATGGGTGTCTATGGGTCTCTATGTATCTCTATGGGTCGCTATGGGTGTCTGTGTATCTGTATCGGTCTCTATGTATCTCTATGGGTCTCTTTGTGTCTCTATGTATTTCTATGTATCTCTATGGGTCTCTATGTATCTATATGGGTCTCTATGTATCTCTGTGGGTCTCTATGTATCTCTATGGATCTATATGGGTCTATATGGGTCTCTATGTATCTGTATGGGTCTCTATGGGTCTCTATGTATCTCTATACACAGAGACCCATAGCGACCCATAGAGAGTAGGTGAGTCAGTGGGTGGGTGAGTGAGTAGGTGAGTGAGTGGGTGGGTAGGTGAGTTAGTGGGTGGGTGCGTGGTTGGGAGAATGAGTGGGTGGGTGAGTGAGTAGGTGAGTAGGTGGGTGAGTAGGTGAGTGAGTGGGTGTGTGAGTCAGTGAGTGAGTGGGCGAGTGAGTGGGTGAGCGAGTGGGTGGGTGAGTGGGTGAGTGAGTGAGTTTGTCAGTGAGTAAGGTAAGTGGGTGGATGACTAGGTGAGTGAGTTGTTGGGTGAGTGGGTGAGTGAGTGTGTGAGTCAGTGAGCAAGGTAAGTGGGTGAATGAGTAGGTGAGTGAGCGAGTGGGTGAGTAGGTGAGTGAGTGGGCGAGTGAGTGGGCGAGCGAGTGGGCGGGTGAGTGGGTGAGTGAGTGAGTGTGTGAGTCAGTGAGTAAGGTGAGTAAGTAGGTGGATGAGTAGGTGAGTGAGTTGGTGAGTGAATGGGTGGGTGAGTGAGTGTGTGAGTCAGTGAGTAAGGTGAGTAAGTGGGTGGATGAGTAGGTGAGTGAGTGAGTTGGTGAGTGAGTGGGTGGGTGAGTGTGTGAGTCAGTGAGTAAGGTGAATAAGTGGGTGGATGAGTAGTTGAGTGAGCAGGTGAGTGAGTAGGTGAGTAAGTGGGTGGATGAGTAGGTGAGTGAGTAGGTGAATGAGGTGGTGAGTGGGTGGGTGAGTTGGTGAGTGAGTGCGTGAGTCAGTGAGTAAGGTGAGTAAGTGGGTGGATGAGTAGGTGAGTGAGTTGGTGAGTGAGTGGGTGGGTGAGTGAGTGTGTGAGTCAGTGAGTAAGGTGAGTAAGTTGGTGGATGAGTAGGTGAGTGAATGAGTTGGTGAGTGAGTTGGTGGGTGAGTTGGTGAGTGAGTGTTTGAGTCATTGAGTAAGGTGAGTAAGTTGGTGGATGAGTAGGTGAGTGAGTTGGTGAGTGAGTGGGTGGGAGAGTTGGTGAGTGAGTGCGTGAGTCAGTGAGTAAGGTGAGTAAGTGGGTGGATAAGTAGGTGAGTGAGTTGGTGAGTGAGTGCGTGAGTCAGTAAGGTGAGTAAGTGGGTGGATAAGTAGGTGAGTGAGTGAGTTGGTGGGTGATTGAGTGTGAGTTAGTGAATAAGGTGAGTAAGTGGGTGGATGAGTAGGTGAGTGAGTAGGTGAGTGAGTGAGTTGGTGAGTGAGTGGGTGGGTGAGTTGGTGAGTGAGTGTGTGAGTCAGTGAGTAAGGTAAGTGAGGAGGTGGATGATTAGGTGAGTGAATGAGTTGGTGAGTGAGTGTGTGAGTCATTGAGTAAGGTGAGTGAGTGGGTGGGTGAGTAGGTGAGTAGGTGAGTGAGTTGGTGAGTGAGTGTATGAGTCAGTGAGTAAGGTGAGTAAGTGGGTGGATGAGTAGGTGAGTGAATGAGTTGGTGAGTGAGTGGGTGGGTGAGTAGGTGAGTGAGTGAATAAGGTAAGTGGGTGGATGAGTAGGTGAGTGAATGAGTTGGTGAGTGAGTGGGTGGGTGAGTGAGTGTGTGAGTCAGTGAGTAAGGTAAGTGGGTGGATGAGTAGGTGAGTGAATGAGTTGGTGAGTGAGTGGGTGGGTGAGTAGGTGAGTGAGTAGGTGAGTGAATGAGTTGGTGAGTGAGTGGGTGGGTGAGTGAGTGTGTGAGTCAGTGAGTAAGGTAAGTGGGTGGATGAGTAGGTGAGTGAATGAGTTGGTGAGTGAGTGGGTGGGTGAGTAGGTGAGTGAGTAGGTGAGTGAATGAGTTGGTGAGTGAGTGGGTGGGTGAGTGAGTGTGTGAGTCAGTGAGTAAGGTGAGTAAGTGGGTGGATGAGTAGGTGAGTGAATGAGTTGGTGAGTGAGTGGGTGGGTGAGTAGGTGAGTGAGTAGGTGAGTGAATGAGTTGGTGAGTGAGTGGGTGGGTGAGTGAGTGTGTGAGTCAGTGAGTAAGGTAAGTGGGTGGATGAGTAGGTGAGTGAATGAGTTGGTGAGTGAGTGGGTGGGTGAGTAGGTGAGTGAGTAGGTGAGTGAATGAGTTGGTGAGTGAGTGGGTGGGTGAGTGCGTGTGTGAGTCAGTGAGTAAGGTGAGTAAGTGGGTGGATGAGTAGGTGAGTGAATGAGTTGGTGAGTGAGTGGGTGGGTGAGTAGGTGAGTGAGTAGGTGAGTGAATGAGTTGGTGAGTGAGTGGGTAGGTGAGTGAGTGTGTGAGTCAGTGAGTAAGGTAAGTGGGTGGATGAGTAGGTGAGTGAATGAGTTGGTGAGTGAGTGGGTGGGTGAGTAGGTGAGTGAGTAGGTGAGTGAATGAGTTGGTGAGTGAGTGGGTGGGTGAGTGAGTGTGTGAGTCAGTGAGTAAGGTGAGTAAGTGGGTGGATGAGTAGGTGAGTGAATGAGTTGGTGAGTGAGTGGGTGGGTGAGTAGGTGAGTGAGTAGGTGAGTGAATGAGTTGGTGAGTGAGTGGGTGGGTGAGTGTGTGAGTCAGTGAGTAAGGTGAGTAAGTGGGTGGATGAGTA